TACCGCCACATATCTGACTCAATAACCATTAAAACAACTATTTTCATTCATTTCAGACGGAACTATTCACTGAGTTGTATTTTATTAAACTGAACTTCCAATTTTCACCACTGTTCGGCGCCAAGTAACATTTCCTCTAATCACGGAGCAAATCCCGATGATGAGACATTATTTATTTCATTGTGCTATTTATTCATTACAGGAATTGTTAAGCATTTTTAATGAATACATTTTGAATAAAATGATCGTTTGTTATTGGAGTTATTGCTGTTGACTTTTACTGAAAAGCATTTTTAATAAATCAACTGTAAATAACATGTTATTGTAGGATTACGTAGGCCTATGTTAAGTGAGTGCATGCCATAGACATCTCTATGCATGGGAACAGAGACCTGAATGACTGATTGTAGTAATAATGATTACTTTGGGGTCCTCTAACTTGAAACTCTACATGTTAGTTATGTATTAGTTAACATATAACTCCTTAGATTAATAAAAAGGTTCTTCTGTTTTTTGGTCGTCCTTACGGTGCGAGCTTGGTTATTGCATCATCATAGGCTTCAAGTACACAGCGTTATTAGAAAGGCCAATCTGATGCAAACTTACTACAGCTTTTGCTCAGAGGATTACTTAGAGCTTACTGACTTAAATACTTTGTTGACTCAAGTATTTAGAGAGAAGCTATGTGTGTTTATTCTGTATATGTGTACAGGTCTTTGTTGGAGAAAACCAGAGTTCAAATTTACTCAATCTGCTTCTCTATAAAATCACACCTCAGTGTTGTAGTACTCGAGATCGGTCTTGGTCTCGAGACCATTTTTTGATGGTCTCGGTTTCGTCTCGGACTTGACCGCATTTGGTCTCGGTCTTGTCTCGGTCTCGGGCGCTGAGGACTTGGCATTTTATTTCAAGACCAGTCAAGACCATAACTGTGGAAATAACGCTAATCTTCAGAATATTATCAGTTTCTTTAAGATCTTTCTTTTTATTGGATGCTTGGATTCAAATCCAAACAAAAACCTGTCTCATTGGTAAATGCATTTTTTTTTTTTTTACCGCTGTCACGCCCACCCCCTTTCACCTGCGCGCGGGCTGCAGCACTTTGATTGAAAGTCACAAGTGGTTGTCTGAGAACGGGGTAAGATGTCGGCCAAATCATCGGTTATAAAATTCGACAAATTAAATCACAAAGAATATATTTGTAAAGCAACATTGAGAAAAAAGCATACAGCGCAATGTAATTCTGCAATGCTTCACTATCAGAGACGGTAGGGACTACGTCCAACTTTTATCGACACCTTGAAAGAAAGCACAAAGAAAGGTAAGCTACGTACATATTTAAGTCATTATGTTGTGACAGTATGTTATGAGACCGACAAGCTGTGAAAATATTAGCACTTCTGCCTTTTCTCCATGTTCCCAGTGCTAACTAGAGAAAAACACCGCTTGGTCAAAAACAAACCATCTGATTCAGCAACAGGGTCTTAGAACTGAAAAAGTCAGTCAGGCTTTTGTGCACGTATTTCAGTGGGGTTTGTATTTCTGCAGATGTCAGTAGCTCAGGGAGAGGTGAA